CGCCGCAACTAGACTTCGCGCGCTGCGCGTTGAAGTCTGCCCGCGCGCCCGCGGGCGCGCGCTCGACTTGGTTGAGCGCGCGGCCGGCCTGGCCGAGGTGCTTCGCGCGGGCGGCTGGCGCAGCGCTGCCTTCACATGGCATTTACCCGTAGAGTCTCTCTTGCGGGGTGCTACGCTCGAAGCGCGCGCGCTGGAGCTCCGGCGACGCGCCTGCGCGCACGTGGCGCGGGCGGCTGGGCCACCCTTCGGGTGCCCAGCGCTCCGCGGCAGCGGGTGTTCGCGCAGGGCGCTCGGGCAGGGTGGCGACGCAGGCGAGTGCGGGGGCCGCCGTCGGCTCGGGGCACCGCCGCGCGCGGCCAGGATCGAGCGCCGCGCCCGTCGTCGCGGGGCGACGCGCCGAGCTGTTTGGCGCCCGCGCCAAGGTTTTGTGGCGGGCGATCTCCGTGCAACGTTGACCGCGGCGACGAAACAGCGGGGCGGGCGCCCCCGCCCCAGCCCCCATGCTTGGGCGAGAGGCAGCGGGCGCCGCGCGACGCGCGGCTGCGCGGGGCGACGCGCGTCGCGCAGTCCGCCCTGCCTGCGTGGGCGAGTGCGCGAGGGGGGCGCGCGCGCGCCGCCCAGGTTTGGGAGGGGCGCCGCGCGCGCTCGGCTGGGGGGGTGTCCCGCCACGTTCGGCGAAGGGCACTTGCGGTGCGGCTTTTGCCCACCCGCCGCTTCCTCGGCGGCCATTCGGCCCGGGTTGTTCGCGCTGGGCGCCCGGCGAGGCTGGCGACGCAGGCGAGTGCCCCAGCCGCCGTCGGTTCGGGGCACCGCTGCGCGCGGCCAGGGTCGAGCGCCGCACCCGTCGTCGCGGTGCGACGCGCCGAGCTGTTCGGCGTCCGCGCCAAGGTTTTGCGGGCGCTTGTTTCAGTTTGTGTTTCGAGCAGGTGGAGTCCCTCCCCCCTCCCGCCCAATGTCGAAACGCCGAATAAAATAACGTTCATTCTCTTACGCGTTATTTTGCCGATCGCCGCGGGCCCCCGCACTCCCCCCTCGCCCTCCCGCCCCCCCATGGAGTTGATCTTGGCTGTTCGTTGGCGGCTGTTTCGAGCACGTTGAGTCTCTCCCCCCCGGGGCGCACTGCTTCAAACAGCCGCACGAAGCAGAAGTCCGGAGCCAGGTCCCCCCCCTTCCACCCAATGTCTAAACGCCAAATAAGAACACGCTCGCCACTGGACGGGGTGATTTCCTCATGCGTGTTTGATGTATCCGATCAGGAATGTGTGGGCGCGCCCTGGCGCGCCAGAGACGGCGACTTGCTTAGACCTTGGAGGGCCAAGCCTACCTGCTTCTAGAATAAACATCGGGGGCCGATGCCAAATACGTTTCTCACGACCCAGCTAATGGCGTCTATGGACACATAGGGTACCGTGACGACCATGGACACTTTTGGGGTCGATTGTGTTTCCTGGTGTATTTCACAGCCGTTGTTTGTTCTTGACTGCTGCTGCAATCAACCATGTTGGCCAGGTATTGGGCCGCATGCGCGTGACAGCGGGTGTGTATGATCTCGAGGGCGGCCGCAGAAGCAGCGACCGCCGCCGCCGCCGCCATCAATGGTTTCTGCGACTTACTCCTTCGGAGTGGTAGGTGATCAGGCACCCATGTGAACCCATCGTGACCGAAAGGCCCTTCGGATGTAAGGTTGCACGGGCTCGTGGAGGGCTTCCCTGGGTCCCGAGAACGGCGAAACACTCCCCAGAACCAGTTTCTTTCATACCAATTTGATATGTTCCACTCTCGTCCGAGTCGTTCTTGGGCCAAGCCACGTGTACAGTCAAGACGTTGAGATAAGGACCGATTTAGATTCAGGAGGGGCAGTGTTTTTCGTGCCGTTCGGGGAAATGGTACAGTTGATACCCATGCCAAGGGACACCCTGCTTGCCTCCAGGTTGCCCTGGGCTTCTTGGGATTCGATGGTTTTGCAGTGGAAAGCGCGACGTTGCGACGTTCCCACAATAAGTATCCCGGCAAAGCAACCTAACAGCGATGTGTAGGAGCATATTTGGAAGCATTCCCATTAAGATTCAGATGAGAATCCAGTTGTAGAATTCTGCTGCTCTCGCAGTCGTAGTCGCATTCGCGAAGAGAGTCGCAGTGGCAACGGCAGTCGCAGTCACAGCCTCAGCCTCAGCCTGCCTCAGCCTCAGCCTCAGCCTGCCTCAGCCTCAGCCTGCCTCAGCCTCAGCCTCAGCCTGCTTCAGCCTCAGCATCAGTCTGCCTTCAGCCTCGGCCTCAGCCTCAGCCTGCCTCAGCCTCACCCTGCATCAGCCTCGGCCTCAGCCTCAGCCTGCCTCAGCCTCAGCCTGCCTCAGCCTCAGCCTCAGCCTGCCTCAGCCTCAGCCTCAGCCTGCTTCAGCCTCAGCCTCAGTCTGCCTTCAGCCTCGGCCTCAGCCTCAGCCTGCCTCAGCCTCAGCCTGCATCAGCCTCAGCCTCAGCCTCAGCCTGCCTCAGCATCAGCCTGCCTCAGCCTCAGCCTCAGCCTGCCTCAGCCTCAGCCTGCAGCCTCAGCCTCAGTCTGCCTCAGCCTCGGCCTCAGCCTCAGCCTCAGCCTCAGCCTGCATCAGCCTCAGCCTCAGCCTCAGCCTGCCTCAGCATCAGCCTGCCTCAGCCTCAGCCTCAGCCTGCCTCAGCCTCAGCCTCAGCCTGCTTCAGCCTCAGCCTCAGTCTGCCTTCAGCCTCGGCCTCAGCCTCAGCCTCAGCCTGCAGCCTCAGCCTCAGCCTCAGCCTCAGCCTCAGCCTCAGCCTGCCTCAGCCTCAGCCTCAGCCTCAGCCTGCCTCAGCCTCAGCCTGCAGCCTCAGCCTCAGCCTCAGCCTCAGCCTCAGCCTCAGCCTGCCTCAGCCTCAGCCTGCCTCAGCCTCAGCCTCAGCCTGCCTTCAGCCTCAGCCTCAGTCTGCCTTCAGCCTCGGCCTCAGCCTCAGCCTGCCTCAGCCTCAGCCTGCATCAGCCTCAGCCTCAGCCTCAGCCTGCCTCAGCATCAGCCTGCCTCAGCCTCAGCCTCAGCCTGCCTCAGCCTCAGCCTCAGCCTGCTTCAGCCTCAGCCTCAGTCTGCCTTCAGCCTCGGCCTCAGCCTCAGCCTGCCTCAGCCTCAGCCTGCATCAGCCTCAGCCTCAGCCTCAGCCTGCCTCAGCCTCAGCCTCAGCCTCAGCCTGCCTCAGCCTCAGCCTGCCTCAGCCTCAGCCAGCCTCAGCCTCAGCCTCAGCCTGCTTCAGCCTCAGCCTCAGTCTGCCTTCAGCCTCGGCCTCAACCTCAGCCTGCCTCAGCCTCAGCCTGCATCAGCCTCAGCCTGCCTCAGCCTCAGCCTGCCTCAGCATCAGCCTGCCTCAGCCTCAGCCTCAGCCTGCCTCAGCCTCAGCCTCAGCCTGCCTCAGCCTCAGCCTCAGCCTGCTTCAGACTCAGCCTGAGTCTGCCTTCAGCCTCAGCCTCAGCCTGCCTCAGCCTCAGCCTGCCTCAGCATTCAAAATGTGGCCAGGGAATGGAGTTCTGGGAACTCGAAGAACACGAAGTGGCCTACAGTTGGCTTCGGGCATTCAAAATCATGCCCAGGACTGGAGTTTTGGGACTTCGAAGACCACGAAGTGGCCATTCAAAATGTGGCCTGGTAATGGACTTCTGGGAGTTCGAAGAGCACGAAGTGGCCTACAGTTGGCTCCGGGCATTCAGAATGTGGCCCGGGAATGGAGTTCTGGGAATTCGAAGACCACGAAGTGGCCTACAGTTGGCTCCTGGCATTCAAAATCATGCCCAGGAGTGGAGTTCTGGGACCTCGAAGATCACGAAGTGTGTAACTGTTTGCTTAACACGACTTCCGCGGATTCTCCCCGGCACCCGCCCAGACCCCCCTGGGGAGTCAAGATGCGCTCTTTTGACACTACTAGAAACCTATCAGTCTTCGCTGTTAGGTAAAAATCAATGGACGTCCTGGGGTCAGGGTTGGATTGCTCGTGAAAGGTTTTTTCTGGACTGGCCTCCACTGTAGGACCGTTCGTCCTGCCCACCCACCCGTGCATCTATTTGTTGATTTTGTCCTCCTTGTTTCTGCGGCGTCGTTGCGCCTGCCCTTTTTTGTGTGGGGACCGGGAGCGGCCTCAGCACTTTGGTGTTGGACCACCGGAGAAGAGGAGGGTAGGGATCGGTCGGCTACGTGTAAGAGTGACCGTACGCCAGAGTGATCTTTGGCGCGGGCACTGAGGTCCCAAGATGGATGAAAGCGATGCGATAGCAGCGGCCTCCGCGCTCGGGTTTGACACTTCCGTGCCCCCCGAAAGTCGCGCACCAAAGGTCATTCTTGCCTAGGGTCACTCTTGCGAGTACGGTAGGTTTGCGTCGTGTCGACCAGCGGCGACTCCAGCGCGGGCGTTCAAGGTTGAACGCCGCCGGCGACCCAGAATCGATCGATGTTGAACGATCCGACGTTGCGGCAGCGGCCGATCGTTCAAGGTTGAACGATCCCTGCGGTGTCAAAAACCAACGCTGGGGTCGGCACGACACGAACCCGCCGTAGCCGAAACGGGCGTTCACATAACATCTCGGTGCCCCGCGCGGATTGCCTTGGATCGGCTTCGGGCACACCCGGCGGCGCCTCCTGCGCCGCCCCTGGCGCGCTCGCGCGCCAGGGAGTCGGGTCCGGCGGCCATCCGAAAGGAACCCGCGCGGAGGTCCGCAAGGTTACGTTCGACGTCTGTTCATGGGAGCCTCTGGCGGCGATGCTGCAATCAGCTTCTCCTGCAGTTGGACCGCGTGGGGACCGCATTTGGCCCATCCTCCACTCCCCTCCCCCTCCTCGTTCTCCTAGTCCCCGCGAATCCAGTCCAGGTATGGTTCAAATCCGGTCTAAATTTGTTCCAAGTAAGGTCCAAATCAGGCCCAAATTGGACAGCGCCAGGGGCCACGCAGGCTCCCATGGAACGGACACCAAAGTTACATTAACGCAGTTCTTCGTGCCTTCACTCTTGGCCAGGCGGAGAACCGCGAGCTCCGCAAGAAGCTCGTGGAGGCCCGCCTGAGGGGGGCGTTTCAGCGAGAGGGGGGATGTGCGACCATGGTGGGAAACTGGAGCATATATATATATATATATATATATACATTACCAGTGGCGGGCTGTTTTCCACTCCAAGGACTTTTTGAGGGTCGGGGACGACGTCGGGGTGGTGTGGTGCATACTTGTTTCCTCGCTTTCCCCGTGGGAACAACGAACAATGTATACACCAGGCTCCCGTATACACCAGGATCCGCTTTCCCGTGCGAGTTTCAGTGCGGGGCGAGAAACATCGTCGGCGTATAGAGTTCGGCTCCTTCTATGGGAGGGTGGATATCATGGTAGGAACCACCATATCTCCCCAGATCTGATGCCGCCTCCTCTTGTTTCAATACGTCCCCTGGGCCCTGGGCCCCCCCCCTGGGCCGCGCGCGTGTCTTAGGCCATGCTCTGCGAACCCCTCTATTGGACCACCCCCCTGGACGCCCCCGAGAAGCAGCCGCGATTACAGCCAATATCCATAGTGAGGACGCGCTGCTTTTGTCACGGGTACCGTCGCGTTCCCTTCTTCCTGGGCCAAGGTTGACGTCCAAGGAGCTCTGAATGCCACATTGGAGCCTCAAGGATCTTGCATCCTTACCTCGCATCTTCACTTACTGTGGATGCTGGCTGTGTTTCGATCCGCCGAGCCTGCGGGGACTGAGGATAGGGGGAGAAGGGGCACTTGTGACGTGCTGCCGTCGGGGAGCCCGCCGGAGCGCAACTCGGCCGCGCGCAGAGGGGGGTCAGGGGTTAGGGGGCTTCTCGGGAGGCACCCGATTCTTAGAAGGCGTGGGCCCTACATTTATAGACGTGGGGCCAGCGCCTCCTCAGGAGCAGCCTCCTTCTAAGAGCCTTCCCCTGCCCCCGCTGTGCGCGCCGCCAAGCCGTGCAACTCCTTCGTTGCTGCGCGATGGCCTGGTGTTCAACGCGCCGATGGCTTCCCTCGGATGCGACCCCTGGGAATTATACGGCATTGGCGCTGGTGCATCCGTTGGCGAATGTCGGCCCCATCCGGACTAATCTCGATTCCGTTGAAACCGGTTGATTGATGTAGTACCGTTGCTTAATCTTGGTTGATATGGTTTTCTGGGCCTTTGCGTAGTAGCCCGTGATCGTTCTTACGAAGGCCTCCCAAAAGATGCCTCCTGCCTCACCGCGGCGTGTCATTGGTATTATTGAGTCCGCAGATCGGGAGTCACGGCGAGCTCCCAAGGGGAAGCTTGCACGCGCAGTTTGCCACCAGTGGGCGTTAGGGATACTGCCTCGACGAGGGTCGGTGCCAATCGCTGCAGCATGTCTCGCGGGACCAATCGACGAGGGTCGGGACCACGTGGGCGTCCCATGGGGGGTCGTCAGGCCTTTTGGGTGACCGTGGGCGGCGAAGGGCCTGAGGGGAGCCCCGAGTTCAAGCTCCCGGCGCCGTCTGAGAGAGCGTGATTCGGGAGCCTCGAGACGGGGGTCAATGCAGACGGGGGTCAGCCACGGCGCCGGATCCTGCACGATCCTGCGAAGACCCCCTCTGGCTGACCCGGATCAGGGAGCCGCTCGTGGCCGCGAGGGCGGCCGCGCCTATTGGCTGACCCGGGTTTGCGAAGACCTGCGTTGCATTTTTTTTTTTCCCCCCTTTGCAGTGGAGTTTTTTGGTTGCCTGCTGACCTGGGTCTGGATTGACCCGGGTCAGAAGATCCCCGAGTGATGGAGTGCGCCCTCGTGAGAGCGCAGATCTCTCGTATTTTCAGATGTCCCAGCAGAGTTACGGGGCAGGACATGCGTGAGGGGATGTCCAGAATTGAAGCCGTCGTGGCCCTCGAAGCTCAGATCGCTCGTATCCTCACGTGTCCCAGTAGAGAGTGGAGCAGAAAATGAATGAGGGGTGCGCCGGAGCGAGTCTTTCGCAGCCCCGAGAGCCGATCTCACTCGTGGTTTTACGTGTCGCGCGCGTGGGCCTAGCGTTGGGAGCGTGTTTCACTAATCGTTTTACGTTTCCGTGACGTGCCCGGAGGAGGAGGAGGAGGAGGAGGAGGAGGAGGAGGAGGAACGAGGACGAGGCCAAGGGAGGAGGAGGGAGGTAGAAGGAGGAGGAGCGGGGGACTTGCCGAATCGAGGCTATTGTAGCCGTGGGTGCGCAGATCACTCACATGGGGCTCCTGGGGCTTCGGTGCCCCAGGAGCTGTCATGCACATGGGCCCAGCCCTGGGAGCGAATTCCACTCCCGTGTTTAGGTGCGCTGGTGGAAGCAATAACAATTAAAACCTTGCCCTGGGAGCGCATTTGACTTGTATTTTCAAGCGCCCCAGGACAATCACTCAAAGTTGGCTTTATCGAAACGCAGCGGAACGCCATCGGCCGGCGGAATGGGGGGGGCGGCGGAATCAGGAACGCCACTCGTAGCATGTATGTTTGCTTCTCACTCTTCGCCATACCATCATCATCTCATCACCTACCCTCGACACCTATCACGGCGAGGGCCCGCAGGGGGCCCTTCGAATTGAGTAGTTTCTTTCATTCCGCCCGCCCATAGGACATTACGGTTGCTCTGCTGGCGTGCTCGTGGTGAGCGAGGAGAAGGAGGAGGAGAAGGAGGAGGAGGAGGAGGAGGAGAAGGAGCAGGACAAGGAGGAGCAGAAGGAGGAGGGATGGTCGCGTGCGATGCACCCTCAGGCTGAGAGAGAGAGAGAGAGAAAGAAAGAGAGAGAGAGAGAGGAAAAAAAAAACGAGAGAGAGAGAGAGAGAAAGAGAAAGAACAAAAACAAAACGAGAGGGAGGAGGAGGAGGAAGAGGAGGAGGAGGAGGAGGAGGAGGAGGCCTCTCCACTGCGGCGTGTCATTGATGTCGTCTTGGCCCCCCGCCCGCGCCCACCGCAGGCCCTCCGCAGGGGCGCGGGCGGCGCTGGCGCCGTCCCCGCCGCGCCTGCCGCCCAGGCCAGCACCGGCCTCTCGGGCGGAGGGCCTGCCAGGGCTCATTTTTGGCGGCGCGCAGAGGGGGGTAGGGAAGGCTTCCAAGAAGCGCCCCTGCTTCTTAGAAGGCGCGGGCCTTGCCTCTAGATGTAAGGCCGGCGCCTTCTAAGCAGCAGACTCCTTCTAAGAAGCCTTCCCCCTACCCTCCCCCGTGCGCGCCGCCAACATTTGCGATCCCTCCGATTCGATCTTGTGCGATCTCGAAAAAGTTGATTCGATTCAGCTTCGGGTTCCGAGGTGTGCTCCGGCGTTTCGAGGCGGGCCTTGGCGGCCTGCCGATGTCGCCGGTTCGGCTGCCGCTTTCCGCCGATCTGGTTCTTCTCGATCGCCGATCCGACATCGATTCGATTCTGGGCTCTCTTGGCCTTGGCATCGCTCGGACGTGTGCAAGTTCCCTTCGGCGAGGGCCATCGAGGAGCATTCTTGATCCTTTGGCGAAAAAGCCACGCACGAAGCCGACAAAAAACACAGGGAGTGGACGTCCGAGCGATGGCCGGCTGCCTGCCGAGCTCGGTCGGCCGTGCCTCCGGGGAGCAGAGGTCGCCGCGGAGCAGGCAGGTCGACACGCCCGAGGTCTTTGGAGGTCTCTCAACGTTTTCGTGTTGCCGGAGGTGTGGGGCGTCTCTCAGTCGCGCGCAAAAGGGGGTAAGGGGGAGGGGGGAAGGCTTCTTAGAAGCACCCCTGCTTCTTAGAAGGCGCGCAGAGGGGGGTAGGGAAGGCTTCCAAGAAGCACCCCTGCTTCTTAGAAGGCGCGGGCCTTGTCTATAGATGTAAGGCCGGCACCTTCTAAGAAGCAGCTTCCTTCTCCCCCCTCCCTCCACCCCCTTGTGCGCGCCGCCAAGTCTCCGATCTCGGGAGCCTCGAGACGGGGGTCAATGCAGACGGGGGTCAGCCACTGCACCGGATCCTGCAGGATCCTGCGAAGACCCTTTCTGGCTGACCCGGGTTCGCGAGCCGCTCGTGGCTGCGAGGCGGCCGCGCCTATTGACGGACCCGGGTTTGCGAAGACCTGCGTTGCAGTTTTTTTTCCTGCAGTGGAGTTTTTGGTTTTCTGCTGACCCGGGTCTGGATTGACCTGGGTCAGAAGATCCCCGACGATCGCGACAGTTTCGGAGGTTTCGGGCCGGGGGGTCTCGGAGGTTTCTGGGGGTTCGGGGTTCTCTGGACGTTTTGTCGCCGTCGTCGACCCCGATGGCGCTGCGAGGCCTCGGGGGGTCTCCAGGGCGAGGTTCCCGGAGGTTTTCTAGCCTCGGGAGGCCTTCCCGCAGCTGCACGGTACCGAGGGCGTTCCGGGGGTGCTCGGATCGCCCCGAAGGGCCGCCGGAAGCCCGGGGTATGGCCCGAAAGCCCGCGTCCAGGACCCGTTTCCCGTAGGACCCATTCCTGTCATGCCTGGGAGACCTGGCAGCGTGCAATGTCAAAAGGTTTTTGGGAGGTCTCTGGAGTCCTGGAGGTTTTCGAGGCCCGGGTTTCAGGAGCAACATTGAGATCCAGGCCTGGCAGTTTTTCACACTGGGCGTGTTCGCTGGGCTTCGGGCCCCGGGCCCGAAGCAGGCCACGACAAGCTAACGGAGGTCCCGAGAGGGCTCTAGACGGTCCCAAGAGGCCCCGAAGACGCCCAAGCTGCCCTCAAGACGGCCGACGAGGACTCGAACACGCTCCAGGACGGACTCAAGAGGCTCCCCAAGAGGGCGGCCCTGGGAGGCAAGATTCGCTAATTTTCCTATGGTTTTTGAAGGATTTAGGCGTTCTCGCTTTCCCTGCTTCCCAGCGCTCCCTCTCGGCCCCGCTCGGAGGCCCTTCAGATCGCTCCAAGACGGGTTTTGAGGTCCCGAAGAGGGCCCCAAGACGGCCCAGGAGGCTCCCCAGACAACCCAATTGTGCCCCAAGAGCTCCCCAAGAGAGGGCCCAGATGGGGACCGCCAACCGATATTTCAAGACCTCTGGCCACAGAGGCCGCCTGTACACCTTGGGCGATGCTTAAGAACACTCAAGTTTTCGGCCAGAGTCTCGATTTTTCTTAACGTTTCAATGTGAATCCTAAGATTTCAATGGCAATGTTGGGTTTTTTTATCCAAGTTCTGAGACCATGAATTTCTTAACCCATGATTTCTTAAGCATTTCGCGTGGTGTAGGCCCCCGGAGGCCACCAAGAGGCTCCCACGAAGCCCCGTGAGGCGCCTAAGAGGCCCCCAGGAAGCCCCAAGAGACCCCCAAGGGGCTCCCAGGGAACGCCCAAGAGGCCCCCCAACACACCCCAAGAAATCATGTCCCCAGAAAACCTTCTGGGGACCTGGTTCATCATGGGCCCGAGAGTTCCCAGAGGCCCCCAAGGGGGCCCCAGGGAACGCCCAAGAGACCCCCCAACACACCCCAACAAGCCATGTCCCCAGAAAGCCTCCCGGGGACATGATTCATCATGGGCCCGCGAGTCTCCAGAGGCTTCGAAGTACCATCATGCTACAGGAGAGCTGTCTGGGAAGTTGATTGGGAACATGACTGAACGTCTTCTCGCGGATCTCCGCAGATCGTTTCGCACAAAGTTGCCCCAAGTGCCCTCTTGAACCGACGACGACGAAACGACGAAGACGACGACAACGACAACGACGACGACGACGACGACGACGACGACGACGACGACGACGACGACGACGACGACGACGACGACGACGACGACGACGGCGCGCCCCAATAGGCGACGACGACATTACGACGACGACGACGACGACGACGACGACGACGACGACGACGACCCCGGAGGCCTCGCCTGGGGGGCCCGCTGCGGGCCCCTGGGGGCCACTGCGGGAGCCCCTGCGGCCACGCGGGCGGTCACGCACAGGCTTCCCGCATCTCCTTCGGAATCTTTCTGGCGACAACCCACCGATGTTTGGCAGCGGCCGCTCAGCACCCGTTTCGACTCGATGGCGACGTCGAGATCGCCCGGCTCGATGCGACTCGAGTTCGACCTGGCAATCCGACGCGGTTCGGTGTTCGCACGTCGCCGTGTTGCACCTCGGCGCAGCCGAGCCGATTCGATCTCGGCTCCGTGCCGAGGCAATCTGGTCGGGCTCACAGCTCTCGTGGGCAAGAAACACATCCGTTCCCGCGGCCTCGCGGACCAGGCCCTCGGGCCGTGACCCTGCGGATAGCGGGCGTTTCTCCGCGGAGGTCCCGCGTGGAGCGCAGCCGTGCGACCGGGTATCCACCGGAGCGCGCTCCGGAATCCAGGCCGCGAGGGCGCGGGCAGGCGGATACGTTGGCCGCCCGTGGCGCGCATCGAGGTCGGACCCACGCAGGCGTCACCCATGCACATACTTTTCTGGTACACGTGCGTCGCCCACGCAAGGGCGGCGTGCTCGCTCGGAGATCTCAGGACAGCTCCGTGGCGGTCGCCTTCCGGCCACGCTGACTTTTACGTCTGGCATGCTCCTCTACAGGAGGAATATTCAAAAACAGTACAAACATAGTATGGGGACTATCTTTCGACTGTGTTTCATTTTTTGAATATTTGCTGGTTCGTTTAAAATGAATTCGTCCACAATCCGCCTGTAGGGGGACACGCCCGACCGCTGCACGATGTGTCCAGGTCGGACGAGCGTCTCCACCAGAAGCGCACAGTAGTAGTAGTGTCCTTGAGCGTCCCATGACATTTCGGTTCGACCCGACTTGCCGATCGAACCCCGTTCGATCCTGCTGCCGTGCCCGATTGCGCCCCGGACTCTGGACCGCGAGGGCGCGGATATGCGGATACGTTCGCTGGTCGTGACGTGCAACCCGATCCAACTCATATTTCGATTCGGTCGGAAAATTCACGGGAGCTTTGCATGTCCTCGGAATCTCGTTTTCAGACTGCACTCGTGCGCGTTAGCGTTTGGTAATCGATGTGGAAGCGCTGATGTGCGTTGATCAGCGTCGGTTGGCGCCGATTCGCATCGGCTGCCGTCGACTCGCAAGAGCCAGCAGGATGGCATGGGAGCTTCCCATGCGTTGCGCAGAACATTTCGAGTCGATCCGATTTGCCCATCCGATGCTGGTTGATCCTGCCGCTGGACCCGATCGGCAGGCTGGCGACCCGGCGGACGCCCGGCGGCGGCGGCTGGAGGCCGCGGAGGCTGCCGCAGGCGCGCCGACGTCATTGGGGAGCGTTTTGGCAGACAGGTCCGGTTATGGGTCCCTTCGACTTGGCATCGCTCGGACGTGTGCATTTTTTCCTTCGTCGAGCAGCATCCTTTATCATCTGGCGAAAAAGCCACGCACGAAACCAAAAAAACACAAAGGGAATGGACGTCCGAGCGATGGCCAGTCGAGGACCTCTGGGCACTCTCCCCCTGCCAGCTCCCTCCCTGCCCCCTTGCTGCCTTCTTCTCTGCCATGCTGCCGGGGGGCACTCCGCCCGCAGCGTCGGCCGCGCTGCGGCACGCGCGCGCACAGCCCCCTTCCCACACGGCTGCTCGCGGCGGCGGCAGGGACGGCCTTGGCGGGCAAAGGCCAGCTGCATGGTGTACCGAGCTGGCCGGGCCGTCGTGTCGGCGGGTCCCATGCCACAGGCAACAGCAGGAGTTCTGGCATCGTCCGTGTCACATCGCCCCTGGTAGGCACGCACTCGGGAGGAAAAGAAGCACACTGACACACTTCATCCTCGATTCCCCAGAACATGTAGGGGAAAACACGGGAAGTGGGGGGGAAGACAGAGACCCAGAAAATATGGGAACATGTGGGGACTGTTTTTGTCTGTGTGTATTTACTTGTGTGTCCTGGGGCCCCTCCACACACACACCGCAGCACGTGCCAGCAGACCGTGCCAGCAGCACATGCGAGCAGCACGTGCCAGCAGCACAAGTGCCGGCAGCACGTGTGCTGGCAGCACGTGCCAGCAGCACATGCCATCGGCGCGTGCCAGGGGCACGCGCCGGCACGCGCCAACGGCACCTGCCGCCCGCGCGAGCCCCCGGAGGTTCACGGGCCGGTATGTTTCGCTCCCTCCCCTCGGCTACAGTGGAAACCCACGCCAAGAATAGGGGAACAAAAAGTGGCATAAACATAACAATTCGGAGGTCCGCGCGTTCTTGGATCGGCGCTGGGGCCCCCCGGCGGCGCCTCCAGCGCCGCCCCTGGCGCACTCCGCGCGCCAGGGAGTGGTGTCCAGCGCCGATCCGAGAAATCCGTGATTTATGTAATTTCTTGTTCCCCTAAAGAAACACCTTGCTTACCTCCAGGGTGCCCTTGGCTTCTTGGGATTCGATTGTTTTGCCGTGGTGAGCGTGACGGTCCCGCGCCAAGAACTCAAGGAACGTCCTGGGGTCTCAGGGTTGGGATCCTTGTGGAAAGTTTCTTGTGGACGGGCTCCTACGGTACCCTGGCCAAAGGACGCACTGCAAACTTCCTCGTGGTGGCCAGGGGTAACTTGATGCTGGCAGTACCTGTCGAAGGCTGTTTTTCCCCAGCGGCCGCGGAGGGCATCCAGGCCAAGGAGGTCGAGGGGGCCTTTGATCTTTTCGGCTCCTGTTCTGGCTCCTACGGTATGCATCGCCACCTCCACGTCGATGCTTCCGGTCCTCCCCTCTTGCCCTCCCCTTAAGTCGGGCTTGTCCCTCTACAGGAGGAATGTTCAAAAATAGTCAACAAATTGTCTGGGGACGATTTTTTGAATATTGTTTGCCCATTTGGGGGCATTTTTTGAGTATTGTAGTGGCCTCCGGCCACTGCCGCCGATCCGGGGCGCTCGGGATGATGATGATGATGATGATGATGATGATGATGATGATGATGATGATGATGATGATGATGATGATGATGATACTGCTGCTGCTGCTGCTGCTGCTGCTGCTGCTGCTGATGATGATGATGATGATGATGATGATGATGGTGATGTGACGATGGTGATGGTGATGGTGATGGAGATGGTGATGATCCCAGCCGCCCCAAACCCCCCTCCTCTCTCCTGTCCCCCCCCTTTCTCCTGTCCACAATTACTCAGTATGAATACTACTCTCTCTCTCTCTCTTCCCCTGATGACGGTTTGAAAGTGTCCGACCCCCCCCGCGTACTGTTTTTTTACACACAGGTTTCCCCGGAGTTGGGTTTTCGCCTGCATTTTTTCCAAAATGCTGCTCTCGCTGAGGCGCCGGCCTCATTTTCGGGCCCCGCTCGTTCCGAATCGTGCTCCCGCTGCAGCGCTGGGCTCATTTCCGTGCTTCCGCTCGTTCCGAATCGTGCTCCCGCTGCAGCGTTGGCCTCATTTCCGCGCTTCCGCTCGTTTCGACTCGCGTTCCCGCTGCAGCGCTGGCGTCATTTCCCGTGCCATGCCACGGCATGCAATGCAATGCTGGGTTGATACTACGCTGTGCGGTGCTCTTCTACGCCATGCCATGCCGTGCTCTACAATGCATCGCGTACCCTCTCGGGATCATTGCCCTGCTCGACATCCGACTGTGCGAGTAAAGAGGGGATCTGCGCCATGGTAAGGGATAGGAGGGAGGGGTAAAATGTCAGATATGACGCGAGCGCACCTAGCTTGCCTCCCCCCCTCTCTTCTTTCCCTCTCTCCTTTCCCTCTCTCCTCTCTCCTGTCCCCCCCCCTTCTCTCCTGTCCCCCCCCCTTTCTTCCCCCCCCTCCCTCCTGTCCCCCCCCTCTCTGTCCCCCCCCCCCCTCTCTTGTCCCCCCCCCCTCTCTCTTGTCCCCCACCCCCCTCTCTCCTTTCCCCTCCACAATTACTCAATATGAAAATACTGTCCCTCTTCCCCTGATGGCGTCCGGGTGATTGCCGCGCACCCTCCGCGTACTTTTTTTTACACACAGGATTCCCGGGAAATCCCGGGAAACGACTCTCGCTGAGGCGCCGGCGTCATTTTCGGGCCGAACGCACCCCGCGTATTGTTTTTTTACACACAGGATTCCCGGGAGACGGGTTTTCGCTTGCGTTTTTTTCCCAAAATGATGCTCTCGCTGAGGCGCCGGCCTCACTTCTGCTCCCGAATCGTTCCGAATCGTGCTCCCGCTGTAGCGTGGGCCTCATTTTCGGATCGGTGTTTGGCCTCCGTCGTTCAGGATGGCGTTTTCGCCCCAGCGCGGGCGTCTTTCTCGCGCGCCCATCCGCCCGCCACCACCGCGCCGCACCACCACCACCACCACCACCACCACCACCACCACCACCACCACCACCACCACCACCATCACAACCACCACCAGCACCAGCACCACCACCAGCACGAGCACCAGCACCACCACCACCACCACCACCACCACCACCACCACCACCACCACCACCACCACGCACACACGCACGCACGCACGCACGCACGTGCACCACCACCCACTACGCACGCGCGCGCGGAGCCACAGGTCCGCTACGACACGCGTCCGCGGATAGAGAAAATCAGCGCCATGGTAAGGGATGGGAGGGAGGGGTAGGACGTCAGATATGACGCGAGCGCACCTAGCTTGCCTCCCCCCCTCTCTCCTTTTCCCCCCCCCCTCTCTCCTTTCCCCCCCCTCTCTCTCCTGTCCCCCCCCCCCCCTCTCCTGTCCCCCCCCCCTCTGCCCCCCACCCTCTCTCCTGCCCCCCCCCCCATTCCTCTCTCCTGTCCCCTCTCCCCTTCTCTCCTGTCCCCCCCCCCTCTCTCCTTTCCCCTCCCCTCCCCCGGGGGAGGGAGCTGGGGAAAGAGAAGGTGCAGAGGCGGGGGGGGGGATGCAGGAAGAGGGGGCAGGCCAGCCACAACTGGGGGAGCTGTGGTCCTTACCCCCCTGGGGGACCCATCGATTTCGACACCCCTCTCGAGAGATCGTCGACGCGATGGGTTCCCCCAGGGGGGTAAGGACCACAGCTCCCCCAGTTATGGCTGGCCGGGGGGGGGGGCGGAGAGGAGATTGCAGGGGAAGGGCGGGTGCAGGAAGAGAAGGGTGGGGGCTCCGGAGAGGAAGATGCGGGGGGGGGGGCGGTCCCAGCACTGGGGAGGCCCTGCGTGTCAATTCTTCCGTCGTTTGCGTCCCCCCCCCCCTGCAGAGCGAAGCTCGAGCGAGCTCAAGCCCGCGCTCTCAGAAACTCACACGCCGGATCGGCGGATTTTTTTTCGTCGAAAGTCCCCCTGTAGGGGAACACGCCCGACTTAGCCCTCCCTTCTGGCAGGCCTGGTGCACGAGAGGGTCGCCTGCCCCGCCGCAGGGGGAGGGGGGGGGCAAAGAGGGGGGTGATGACCAGGGGGGGAGTGGATATCAGGGCGTGGGCCATGCTGTCTCCTCAGATTTCGTGGCGCCTCCTCTGCGTTCATGACGTTCCTGGCCCTCCCTTCGTCAGGGGAACAGAAAGTGGCATAAACATAACAACTCGGAGGTCCGCGCGGATTTCTCGGATCGGCGCTGGGACCCCGCGGCGGCGCCTCCGGCGCCGCCCCTGGCGCGCCCCGCGCGCCAGGGAGGGGGGCCCAGCGCCGACCCCAGCAATCCGCGCGGACCTCCGAGTTTTTATGTTTCTGCCACTTTTTGCGTTCCCCTACTCTCTGGACGCCCCTTGGACGCCCCCCTCGTGGCCCCCCCCCCTCTTGGACGCCCCCCTCTCGGCCGACCCCGACCGCGGCGGGGGGCGCTCCGGCACGCGGCGGCGGGGCCTCTCGCCCCTCGGGAGGGGGCCCCGCGTGGGGCTCCCCGGGCGCCGCGGGCGCTCCCCGGGGCGCTCGGAGGGCGCTGCCGTCGTCGCCGTCCTCGCCGCCCTCCCTGGCACCGCTCGGACATGTGCACTTTTCCCTCGGCGAGGGCCGTCGAGGAGCACCCTCTTGGCTGTCCGGCGAAGAGGCCGCGCGCGCAGCTCAACGGCACCGTAACGGGTACTTACTAACGGGTACTTTAGGGCCTTTTTCTTGCATTGCAGCTTTGCCAACATGGGGAAGGGTTGGGTTCGCTGGGTCACTGGCCAAAGTACCCGTTAGTGGAGTCCCCATTTGAGGGGCGCTGAGCAGCCGAACAAGAGACACGGGGAAGGGGCGTCCGAGCGAGGGCCGGGCCTCCCCGCCTCGCTCTCCCCGCCCTCCTGGCTCGCCTGCTCCGAGGAAGAAGCAGAACAGCACGCACACAAACTTCGGGAGGAAAAGAAGCACACAGACACCATTCATCCTCGATTCCCCCGAACATATGGGAAACTATGGGAAGTGGGGGGAAGACAGAAACCCAGAAAATATAGGAACATATGGGGAATATTGTTTTTTTTGTGTATTTATTTGTGTCCTGGGGCCCCTTCAAAACTTTTGGCGCTCCGCGCGCATTCCTTGGATCCGCGCTGTAGCCAGCCCCGGCGGCGCCTCGGGGGGTCCAGCGCGGATCCCAGAAGTCCGCGCGGAGCGCCAAAAGCTTACGTCCGTGGCGTTTTCTCTTCTTCTGTGCCTCTTCCGGGCGATTGCGATGCACAGTTCGTGGCTTTGCTTCATCAGTGTCTGTTTCCCCTTGGGCTTCCCCCCTCTCCGCGGGGGCGCCTTCGTTGCTGGCCCGTCCTCGAGCCTCGCGGTGGAATGGCGTGCTCTTTGTTGTCTGCAGTCCCCAGCCCGTCCCTCGCCCTTGCAACGCCCGCGCAGGACCGTCCCACCAGGACGGCACAGCGCATTTCCTTGTCTCCAGGCTGTTCTTCCTCACAGCCCAG